AAAAAAAAAAAAAAGTCATCCCCTCTCTAAATGTATCTTATTTTATAATTTGGAGTCATGTGTTACATTAAGGGAAAAAACCTAATTAGAAAAGGGAAAAAAAAAAGGCAATTCCCCAAAATTGAAAACAAACTAAAACAAATCCAACTATATATCTAGTTGGTGGCATAACCACACAGAAAATTCTTTTAAGTATCCTTGAAATACAAATTCCTACAGGATATATCATTAGAAAGGTAGAGGTCCTAAGAATTTTTTTCCTAAAGTCATCCCTTTTTCCATCCCTGCATTACTCCCACATCATGTTTATCTATATCACTTTGTTTTGTTTTTCTAGGTAAACTATAATTTTATCAAATCGAATTTAACTCAAAGTTTAATTAGAAACTACAGTCTATAATAAATATATAATCTATAAATAAAACCTGGAAAGAAATGACCTATAGTAATAATTAAGTCTACCCATTCTGAAATAGGGTAGGCCTCTTTCTTTCCTCTTTTTTTTTTTTTTTCTGGTTGTCAAATGATCCTTTATTGAAATATTTCCTTTGTAGTTCTTAACTAGCTGGACATTCCACTGCACCACTATTGATGTCATCTATGATGTCATGAGGGTGGCAGCCATCAACATTGCAGCCCACAGATTGGGCAGTCCCCAGGATCTCCTTAATGGTTCCAGAGAATTCTCTGGCTAAAGATCAGTGATGCATCTATCGAGCAATGTTGACGATATCATCATAAGTGATATTTTTACTGTGCTTAAAGTTTTTCTGCTTCTTTCAGTCTCTTGGCGGTTCCTTGAGGCCTTTGACAATCAGAGCAGAGGCAGAAAATACCACTTCAATCTGGGCCTGTCTTTCTGAATGGTCAGTTTCACTGTAATCCTCAGACCCTTCCAATCATCAGTTGCTTCGGCGAGGTCATCACCAACCTCTATTGGAGAAAGACTCAGGAGGCCAATCTTGGGGTCCAGGGCAGACGTAGCACCAACTTCCCCATCAGTGCACCCCAGGTATATGACTTGGATCTTGTTGGGGTTGGGATCTCGAACTTAGGCAGCATGGTGGAGGCAGCTGGTGTCAGGATGAACCCGAATGTGGGACTACCAAGACAGTTGCACCTTTGCCTCCTCTAAGCCAAAAACCAAAAAACCCATCTTTTCTCATTTTAGATCAACCCCAGCCTAAGCTGTAACCCAGGCCAAAAGACAATGCTGAAAATATATTATCCATCTAAGTGGGTTGTAGGACTTACTCAGAATACAGAAGTAAAAAAAAACAACATATAAATAAATATTTGTGCCCTTTGATGGTGTATGATGAATCTATAATATATCCACATAGTATCACCACAACCCAAATCCCCTGGTGCTTAGAAGGCGCCTGTGTAAAAGTTTAAGATTGACAGCTTCTTGACCCTCCCCAAACTTTCCCTTGGGTCTCTGCAGAGGATTTTGGGGAGAAAGTGCATATATTCACTCAATAAACATTGAATTCCTACTATGTGCCACATACTAGATGGTGCTGGGAATACAATAATAAGCAAAATGGCAAGCTCCCTGAGAAGAGAAAAGCCCTAATTAAAAATTTCCAATTCCCAAAGCAACAGAGAGACAAGTAGGACAGTATACTAAAAGCTGCCTGCCTGCCCCTGATCTGCCCCTACTCCATAATTTCACATATCCAATTTGCAAACATTTTTAGGAATACAGAAAAATAGGTGATAACCAATATGCTTAAATACCCCTTCATTAACTGACAGTCCACCTTTGAAAGCCTCAAATTTTCTTCACAAATTCAATATAAAAATCCTCCATTTTAGAAATTTAAATAAGAAATATGAAATATAGATTACCTACATAAATGCTGTCTTTTATTTTCAAACTTTTAATTTTTAAAATATAAGCTTAATCTGTCTATATTTCAACTTAGACTGGTCAATTTTTGGCACTTAAAAGACTTTGCTAGGCCTAGCCTTGATGTACCAAATTCACTTAGATACTAGGTTTTGAATTATTCTACATCAGTAGCAACTTACACTGGGGTGATTTCGAGGAGGTACTCGTTCTCTTGGAAGTCTTTCATAGTCATATCGTCCTTCAGACCACATTTCATCTCTTCTGTAAGCCACTAAACAAAAAAACCAAAGAATTATGGTTTTTATGTTATTAGAAACAATAGAGAAGATTTTTAAAATAGTTACATTTTTTTTTAAGTATCTCTGGAAAATATTTGTTGGAATGTAAGTGACCAAAAGGAGAAAAAGAATGATTAAGGCAATTCTTCTTCCAAACAATTCGGAAATGTTCTTTCTAAAAAAATGTAATAGAAAGCCCCACGCTCCATTTCAAAGTCTATTTAAAGCTTCAAAGAGCTTGTTCCCAACAACTGTGGTAAAAAGATCCATAAGACCACAAATATTTTCTCATTCTTATAGTAAAAATTAGAAAAGATTCATTTTCATGAATAATTTACAATGCTGATCAGCAATGCTGCTCCTATTTCCTGGTGGTTTCTATAACACCAGTTTCTAGTTTTGCTGCATTCCTAGAGCTTTATCTCTTCTATGTGTTCAATGAAATGGTTTTAACTGAAAAGTGTTAAATAAACAATCCTATAAAAACACTCTCAACAAACCCTGAAATAAATCAATCTCGATTTTGCTTTTAATGCTATAAATCTATTTTAATGCAAAGGCACTCTCGTAAAATTTGAAATTAAAATAAAAGTTATGTCAGCATTTTTCATGTTTGGGATACAGAGAGAAGCCTCCTCCTTTGAGAGCTGATGTGTTCTGGATAGAGGGCTAATGCAGTTCACTATAGAGTCCAGATGAAAACAATATGTGAACAGGCAAAAGACAAGGTAAGCAAGACAAACAAGAGATGATGAGCAGAGGGTGCAGGAAATAGCCTGAAGGTCATTTATATAAAGTGGCAACACAATGGATCAGGGGTTGGCAAACTTTTTTATAAAGGACCAGACTAATATTTTCGGCCTTGCAGGTCATAGGTCTCTGTCACAACTACTCAATTCTACTGTTATAATATGAAAGCAGCCATAAGCAATACATATAAATGTAGGGGTGTGGCCGTGTTCCAAAAAAAAATTGTATTTACAAAAACAGGCAGGCACTCCACAGGCAGCAGCTCAACAACCACCAGAGTAGATGAGAAATGGTTAACAGAACAGAACCAGGAGAAAGTAAAGCAGGTTCTGACCCAAGAACTATGAACCATCCTGATACACAGAAGGATAATCACAAGTGAGAAGTGAAAAATGGGACAAGTACTAAGTCAGAACCTTTGTAGTACATAGAAAATAGGGCAACAAGTCAAGACACATAGTCTGCAGATTTGTGGAAAAGGAAAATTTCTCAGAGAAGATACATGTCAAAAGATTTTTGGTGGCTCTTTACGATGTAATAGCACTAAGTGGCGGGGGGCGGGGGGGGGGAGATGACATTCCATTTTGGCAGTATAGCATTCTAATGGTTTAGGCTAAGAAAAAAAACAAAGGCTGGAAGATGAGGGCAATATTTTTTGACACTATCCACAGTACAATCTTAATTTTCTCTGTAAAAACAGACCTACAATATTTTCTAATAGAAACAGACGCAATAAAATGAACTAACTCAAAGATGCCTAGAAAAATCTTAATTTAAGTTACAAATTAGCTTTTAACATTATACATAAATCAACCTAAATTCCAATCCATAATCAGACATCATCAAGAATGTTATTTCAGGGGCACCTGGGTGGCTCATTCAGTTAAGCACCTGCCTTCAGCTCAGGTCATGATCTCAGGGTCCTCTCCCTCTGCCCCTCTGCCCTTCCCCTACTCTGCACGCTCTCACTAAGTAAAATCTTTAAGAAAAAAAAAGAGAGAGAGAGAGAATGTTATTTCAAAGTAACCAGTCTTTTAGGTACAAGAACTATTGGAAGCTTGAAAGAAAAAAAAGAAATTATCAAAATTACTCCTCCGATACCACTTTTACTGAACCCACCAAACCTGTGACTTGTTTGTCCTACTTGAGGATAAACCAACTCCAATCAAATCACAGAAAAAAAAAAAACTCAAAATAAAAATGGACAAATGATATGAAGACAGTTCACAAAAAAAGGAAATACAATGACTCAATCTTTTGAAAAGATGCTCAACTTTCTTCAAAATAAGGAAGATGAAAACTAAAACTATAATGGGGTACTCATTTTCACCCAAAGCTCTGCAAAAATCAAACTGCTCTGACAAGAGAAAGAAAAGTAATACTCATATATTAATGAAACGAGTATAATTTGGTACAGATTGGGAAAAATGGGCAATATCTATTAAATGTTACACATATGCTTTGGCCTGGAAATTCTACTTCTCTGTATACTTGAACAGGTACATAGAAAAGACTGAAAGCAACCTAAAATGTTGGTCAGGAGGATACAGATTAAATAAAATGCTGTGCATTCAAATAAAGGAATATTATGCAAGCCATTTCAAAGAAAAGTAACCTCATATATAATATTGAAGGAATGCCAAGATACACTGATTTAAAAAAACAACAAAGGGTAGATTAATATATTGAATATGCTGCCACTCTGGGAAAATAAAAAGATAGGGTATGAATATATATCCATACGCACAGACTACTTCTGGGAGTATAAGCAGGAGAAATGTAACAGTGCCTGCCACTGGGTGCCTGGGTATAGGAAGGTGAATATTTTCACTGCATAATGTTCTATACCTCCTATTATCTATAACAAAAATAAGTAACTATATTTAAAGGTCCTGGAAATCACTCAATAAGCATAATGTATCAGGGTACCTGGCTGCCTCAGTGGGAGGAGCATGTGACCCTTGATCTCAGGGTTTTGAGTTTGAGCCCCATGTGGGGTGTAGAGATTACTTAAATAAGTAAAACTTAAAAAAATAAGCATAACATCTCAAGTGATGGCAAAAATTATGAATATAAATTAAGGAGCTAAAGGAAAACAAGTAAAAATAAGACTTTGTATTTAAGAAAAACTACAAGAGTTCTAAGGAAATACTATATAGTTTCGTAACTAGATATAAAGCTATAATATTAAAATTACTGGCTTCCCATACACAAAAAAAAATGTAAGAATAACTACTAAACTACTTACTTGAGTCCTTTCAGGAATCAAATTTAAAGTTTTCAACAATCTCCTGTAGGAGGGGGGGAAAAATACAGACATAAGGATTTGTGTCTGTATAAACCAACCAATGGAGAAAAATAACCCTTCATTATTTGTATAAATAAAACTCTCAAAATAAAAAAATTATGACCATTAATAAGCCAAACTCCCTTCAAACACATCTTTAAAACAGAAGATATTCTTTTGACCACCAGAGGCCACCCAAGTTTCATAAGAACAACCGAATTATATTAAAGAATTCTAGTCCTAATTTTGCCAGTTGAGAGCTGGGCAGGGCATCTCTCTTAGCCTTATCTCTGAAAGAATTGCATTAGATGTTTAAAGTAATTTTTACCTAGAATATTAAGATTAAAATATCTCACATATTGAAAAAATTCTAGCATCCTTAGTCTGGAAATCCTTACAATTTTATATTGGCAATAAATGGTCCCATGTTCAAGTCATCTCAAAATCAAGGCAAGAATCATCAACTCATCAAAGATTATTAAACTAACTAGGTAAAAATTTGATGGAGAACTTTTTTTTTCCGATTTTTTTTTTAGTATAGTTGACACCCAACATTACATTAGTTTCAGGTGTATGACAGAGTAAATATACATTATGCTATCTATACTCACAAGTGTAGCTACCATCTGTCACCATACATCACTGTTAGAACAATCATTGACTATATTCTCTATGCTGTGCTTTTTACTCCTGTGACTTTATTCCAGAACTCGAAGCCTGTATCTCCCACAACAGAGAACTTTTTAAAACTTTCTCCCAAGGGGCTCCTGGGTGGCTCAGTTAGTTAAGCGTCTGCCTTCAGCTCAGGTCATGATCCCAGGGTCCCAGATCCAGCTAAACAACCAGCTCCCTGCTCAGCAGGGAGTCTGCTTCTCCCTCTGCCCTCCCCCCCCCGCTCGTGCATGCATGTTCTTTGTCAAATAAAATTTTTAAATAAATAACTTTAAAAAATTACTATATATTTTCAGAATAAAGAATATAAAAATAGAAGACAATAAAAGACTAAAAATATATACGCAGTAGTGGTATTGCTCAGTCATAGGGCACTCTTTTTTTTCTTGATTATTCTTTTCACTTAATCCACGTTTTTATTTAAATTCAAGTTAGTTAACATACAGTATAATGTTGGTTTCAGTGTAGGATTTTGTGATTCATCACTTACATATGGTACCTGGTGCTCATCACAGCAAGTTCCCTCCTTAATACCTATCACCCATTTAGCCCATCCCCCTGCCCATAAAAAAAAAAAAAAAAAAAAAAAAAAAAAAAAAAAAAATTTACTTTCCCACTTTTTTGG